CACCCACCCAATCCCATTTTCTATTCTTATAGCAATCACATCCATCTGCCACAACAATTTTTTTTAAACGTGTGACGCACTATAATAATGGTCCTTTTTCTCATTCTGCGGTCAGAGTGAGAGACTGGCTCGCAACGGGGACTCGTGAAAGTCGTTCGCAGGGCGGCTACTGAGAAGTTCCCACCGAGCTAACTCGTCCATGGGTGAATAATGATTAATTGGGGAGAGTCCACGGACATTCGTCTTTCTTTTCGATCTGTACTTTGTCTCAACTTCTTAGGAAAACGTGGCGAACTGAAGCCAAACAGGTCAACTAAAAGCAAAAACCAACTTCACATCAAAGGTAACATGCCCCCATCAGACATGATCAGGGAGAAATTTGATATTGAAAGACTTAGAAGCACTTGGCATACTAAATTGACTATGATGACAACCACAATCTCGATTCATCTAGCAGGGATAAATCTGTCTTAGCCGTTTACAATGACAGTGGCGTTACAAAGGTCAGTCGCATTTTAATCAGTTTTATGGTTCTTGCAACACAATTTGGACCATATGAGTGCCGAAGATTAGAAGTGTTACAAGAGAATAACATATACACAAGAGGAAAAGAAGGACGGCAGGTGTATGATAGGAAAGAAGGAATAAACCAATGTTTCTGTATGTGGGAGGGGGAGAGTGGGAGAGAGAGAGAGAGAAAAAAAAAGAGAGAGAGAGAGAGAAAGAGAGAGAGGGAGAGAGAGAGAAAGAGAAAGAAAGAGAGAGAGAGAGAGAGAGAAATAAAGAACGGACTCTTCACTCTTGGAACAAAAGCAGAGCAACCAACTGGCAATAAATCAAACGCTACAACAACAATCCAGATAAGACCACTTGCGTACGAGGGTGGCGATATCTGCACACATGCATAAAGCTATACACAAGTCTGTTGGGACAACAACAGCCACGAGGTTAGAGGCGCTTCTATTCCTATACTAGATCTATATGCCATGAGAAGAGAACCCAAACCATACAAAATCACTACAGAAATCTAGAAAAGAAAACAGCAGCGAAAATATGAGTCTGTAATATTAAGATTTTAAAAAGAAATACAGAAGAAAAAAGGAAAATAAAACTGTAATCCAACAAAATATCAAGTAAATGTTCTGTTCAGTGCAAATTGAGCACATGAAGATTATTGCTGTAATTTTTTAGTACGAGCACCTTTTCATCGGTTACAGGGTTACATCATAGCCAGTGACATGGTAAATACATTGCTCTCTCTCTCTCTCTCTCTCTCTCTCTCTCTCTCTCTCTCTCTCTCTCTCTCTCTCTCTCTCTCTCTC